TTTTTTTTTAATCACATCATATTAGTGTCTGATATTATAAAGCTTTAGAATGAACAGGTACCTGGCTTCTTATGTGTTTTAATGCTTTTGGAATAGAGAATTTAAAATATTAGCACCTGATTGTATTTTTCAGAGTATGAAGTCAGATATACAGCGTTTGTCCATAAGCTGAATAATAAAATATATTTAAGTCTTTGCCCCTTTACTTACACCACTTTTGAATCGCTGCCCCTTAATTGAGTGTGAAAAAATATTTTTGATAAGAGTGAAGATTGTTCAGTTGGTGGGTTGAGTTTGTTCTCCTTGGTTCTTGTCCCCGCCGCAACAAAGAAGTGAAGGGCAGAGATACAGTAGTGAAGCAGAAGGAAAGTTTTATTCAAATACACTCCAAAGGAGGTGTGGGCTAGACTCAAGGTAGATAAAAGTAGGTTTATTTGATTATACTCCAAGGGAGGAATGGGCCAGAGTCAAGGGAGACAAAGGCAGGTTTACTTGAATAAAGCAGAGAGGAAGGGCAATCTCACTGACCGGAACTTGCAAGCTCAAATCAGAGGTCTCAGTAGCTCCTCTCTGCATATCTGACAGAGAGTGGAACTATGCTTAAAGTCTGGAAAATAGAATGAAATAGCAAAGTGACAGACACCATTGGAAGAGCACAGAGACAAAACATAAGTTGAGCAGTAAGAAGTCTTTTAAAAATACAGAAAGGGGAGTGTGGGCAACCTCAGAAAGGAGGTGCACTTAAGGGCTTAGGGTTCTGTCTTTTAAGGATTTTCAAGAATGGGATAAAGGTAAAAGGTTCAGGGGGTGTAGGCTTGTCATGCAGTCTCATGATGTCTATCTCCAGTAAGAGACAATATGTCATTATCTGTAGTCAGTCCTCTAGTTAATTCTGTAGGATAAACTTCCTGTTCCTCTCTAAGATAGTGGCTACCCACAAGCACTGGGAAGATATTAGTTAAGACTGCTCTCCTTGCCTTAAGATAGGTTGTTGACTGACTACCAAAGAATATACCAGGAATCTAACCTCCCTTTTCTTTTAAAATGGATTCTTAGCCTTAAGATAAGTCCCTCCTGTTCTTATTATGCTATTCATATCTTGGCATTTTTAGGAAAATTAATCATGATGCTTGTCCCATGTCTCTGCTCTATCTCACCTGCTTTAGCTAGAGCAAGTCTCAAGGTCAGCCCAGATTCAGAGCATGTGGAGTGAACTCACATTGCAAAGGGCATTAACCCTGTGAGTCCTTTCTGGCTCTGGCTTTATCTCATTAACTCCCTGAGTTCTTGATGGGCCCCACCCTTTTTTCATCCCTCTCATATATGTCTTTCTGCCTAACATATCAACTGTACATCAATAAAAAGTAATGTGTAAAACCATTATTTTGTAATGACTGTAGCATGCCATAATTTAACCAGCCATTTCCAATTTTTAATCATAAATAATAGGATGGTAAAGAATATTTTCATGCATGGAACATTCTCTGTATTTTGAATTATTTTAGAAAGATGAATTTCTAGAAATAAAATTTTGCTGAGCCTCTACACAATATTCACTATTGAATCAAAAATTGTAAGACAAGATAAGAAGGTAAGGGAAGCAGACTTATATGTGGTCCTGGATTATCAGCCTTGGACTTAAATAACTGTGACTAATATTTCTAAGTAAATAGAGGAAAAGATAGAGAATATCATTAAAAATCCAGAAATTTAAATGGAAAATTTAGAACTGAAAAACATAACTGAAATTAAGAATTCAAGCAAGGATACATTCTTTTATTACACTTTGCAGATACTGTGTTTTACAAATTGAAGGTTTGTGGCAACCCTTTGTCAAGTCTGTTATTTTCCCAACAGCATCTTCTCACTTTGTGTCTCTGTCACATTTTGGTAATTTTCACAATATTTCATACTTACTCATTTTTATCATATTCGTCTCAGTGAGGCTGAGGGAAGAACTGTCTACATGGATTAGAGGGTATGTTACCAGGTGCTCACACAGGTGCAGCAATAGTGCCTATTCCAACAACTTGATAGTTCAAGGAGCCTTAGGTGGAGTACTCAGAAGGGTCTTACTTCAGTAATGGAAAGTATTTAGCCCTAAACTAACTAGAGTTCTGATCCCGCCTAACAAATCTTAAAAGCAGGATGCAAAAGGATCAAACTGTTTTTCAAGTAATGTAACTATATTGCACAACAAAGCTCAAGAATATAGAAATACAGAAATATCCAGCACCCAACAAAATAAAATTCATAATATCTGGCATACAAAGAAACAGGAAAATAGAAACTAAAATGAGATGCAAAATCAATTACAGCTAACCCAGAATTGACAAAGATGTTATTATTATTAGCAGACAAGGACACTAAAATAATTGTTGTAAGTCTATTCCATATTTCAAAACATTAAGAGACATAGAAGATACAAAAAGACTCTAAGTTAACTTTTTAAGATAAAAAATACAATGTCTAAAATGAAAATACACAGAGTAGGATTAATGGCAGATTAGACATTGAAGAATAAAAAATTAATGATATTGAAGATGTAGCCCTAGAAACTCCAAACTGAAATACAGGGAGAAGAAAGAATGAATGAAAAAGAAGAAATAAAAAGGCATTGAAAGTGAAGCAAACTATGGGACTTAAGCATCCAATTTACATATGATTGGAGCCTGTGAAGAGAGAAATGAAGGGGACAGAAAAAATATTTGAAGAAATAATGGCTAGAAAATTTCTAAATTTGGTGAGAACTCTAAAGCCACAGATTCAAGAAGTTCAGTGAATTGCAAGCCTAGAAATACGAAAAAAAATTACACCAAGGCACATCATAACCAAATTGCCTAAGACTGTTGATAAATGTTTTAAAAGTAGCCAGAGGGAAAAGTCATATTGCACACAGATAAACAAAAATAAGAGGGACAGCATATATTCCACAGGAAACAAGCAAGTGATACATGTGTGGAATAATATTTATAAAGAACAACAAAAGAAATCTGTTTAGTTAGAATTTTATACCCGGCAAAAATATCTTTCAGAAGCAACCGTGAAATAAAGCCTTTTCCAGACCCACAAAAGGTAAAAGAATTAATTACTAGCAGATCACACTACTAGAAATATTGTAAGTCCTTCAGGAAGAAGGAAAATATCAGATGGAAATAAAGAACTATACAAAGGAATGAAGAGCATTGGAAATGGTAACCACATGGGTAAATATGCAAGGTCTGTTTCTTTTATAAGAAACAATTGTTTAAGACAACTGACTATAAAAATAATATCAGTGTAATACAGAATTTATAAAATCTGAGAAGTAAAATGTGTGACAATAGCTTAAAGACTGGGAGGGGAGAAATGGAAGTACTCTTGTAAGGCTCTTACACTATATGTGAATTAATACAATCTCATGTGAATGTAATCTATGATAAATACATTATCAATCGTAAAGCACTACTACTCTAAGAAAACAGCCAATAAGTTACAAAGGAGCTACAGTGGAAGCATTAAAAAATGCTCAAGAGACAAAGGACAAGGGGGAACAGAACAGATGGAGCATATAGAAAATAAACAGCAAGATGATAAGTTTAAAACTGCTTCAATAATTACATTAAATGTAAATGGTCTGATAGATTCCACTATGTATCAGAATATTGGAGTTGTTTCATACCATTTTATTCTCTGTACTTGGGCTTTAGCAAGGCTTGGGGAGCATGTGGAGTAACAATCAAATAGGAAATTTGTTATAATTTCTGTTGAGGTTTATTAGACACATTTAATTCACAGCTGACGGGTACAGCCCAATAAAAGGAAATACTTAGGAGAAATAGTGGCTTTTTTCATATGCTGTGTAGTAGTAGAATTCTTTCTTGTGTTATTCATGCCTTTATCAGAAAGTCACTTGATCATATCATGAAACTGTTCTCTCTCTGTCTCAATGGAATCCAGTGGTCCTCCTGTACCCTCTGTTGTCTGCATGTTTACTAGGATGCTCGCTGTGGCTTAGAAAGCTCTAGGGATCGTTTATGTGTATATGTTGGGTCTGAGGGAAAGGGAACTGTGGACAGTTGCATGTGGTGGGGTTGGAGGCCCCCCCCTTCCCCAAAAAGGAAGATGATGCATAATAGGATTTTTAGGTATACACTTCCTACTTCTCTTCAGAGAGTGATTCTTGACGTTGGCTGCACATCACAGTCACCTGGGCAGCTTTCAGAACTCCAGGTGCCCAGGCTGAGCTCCACGTGAATCACATCAGAATCTCTGAGGGACCAAGGTTGAAAACCATTGCTTCTTAGAGGAAGAGGCATTAGGTTAACTTCCTAGTACTCATTTTAAGCCTGTGTTCTTTTTGTAGGTAAGTTAAGTACTGAATGCATGGATTATGGTAATTGAAGGTAGACAGGCACCTTTATTAATTATCATTACATATTAATAGTTTCACATATAGTTACAGGACACTCTCTGAAGTGCTGAATGTATAAACATTTTTATATCAAATTATATTTTAGAGTACATTACGGAAATTCATAATTTAAATACTATGTTTGTATAATTGTTTTCAAAGGGAAGAATGCCAGTTTTAAACATGATTTTGTGTCTGAAGCATTCTTGAAAGGGGATGTGTGGCTGATTTTATTTAGAGGTGTGACTTTTTTCCTCATTTCCATTCCTTTAGGGAGCACAAGCTTTGCTGACCTGCTCTTCAAATTTAAACAGCTAAAGATGCCAGTGCGAGCTTTGCTAAGATTGGCGCCTTTGCTCCTTGGAAATCCACAGCCAATGGTTATGTGATCACATCTGGTGGTAAACCTACCTTGAACGTGACTTCTGCCCCCAAACGCTACCCAACAACAAAGCTAAAGAGTGTTTATAAGTTTTATAGCTAGGGGGAAATGAGCTACACAAACCTCAATGTATTTTAAAATTTAAGTGTTTTAAATATTCCAGCATTATAACATAATATGATATATAAAAGTGAGTTAAAGTTTACTTTTGTAAATAAAGTTTTTTGGTTTGTTCTCAAAACTCTTGATTATCTCAGTTTGGGGTAAACTGAGAGAATAGAGCAGTGTGGGTTTGGTAGATAGTGATTTTTAAAGTGAAGTGACTTTGTGCTCGAAAGTGCAGTTTTTAAAGAAACTCTGTCAGAGTTTATTTTCTGCAGTAGCAGAAGGGCTTAGCATTTGTGGAGCTGGCACAGTTATCTGGTCTGAAATGACTTGTACTTCTGTGACAGTGTAAGGTGTCCTCTTTGTGTGATCAATCACCTGAACAAGGATTTATGCCCTTATGAAGAAGCCCAATGTGAAGCCTGCTCTGAGTAGAAAAAATAGGAAATTTCCATTGTAGAGAAGTCTTCAGAAATTCTACTTATAAGATAAAAGTCCATTTCCACCCAAGATTTAGAGAATGTACATCTCTACCAGGAGTTTCTGGACTAGATGGTGATGAAAGATACTTCTGTAAAGGTGTCTCCAGTACAGGAAGAAGAGACCTCCCTGCTCTCCAGATCTTGCCGTGTGCCCTGTGCTTCCTGAATGGCTAGTAGACCATAAACTGGTAGAAGCTGTAAGAGCCACCCAGTGGTTTTACATGTCCACATCCCGAACTGTAGTGTTTACTTTAGAAGCAAATAGAAATGTTTCCATTGAGATTCTGACAAAAACCCATGTGGCGTTTGCTTCTGCAGAGGAGGCTTGCGTTTGCAAGGTGTGCATATAGAGGCAGAACAGTTCTCCAGGTGCTCAGTATTCCATCTGTTTCTGCTCCAAGGATTTGCCTCTGTGTAAGAAGTGTAGGCAAGATGTGGCTGACTGAGAGGTTTTCTTTCAGTTAAAAGTGGTGGGTTGCAGAATTCCATTTGAATCAAGACTTAAAAATGCTGTTTCTGGGTAACTGTTGCTTTCTTCACTCTCATCTGTTTACAATTTGTGTACTTTCCTCTGATTGAAGAATGACTTAAGAGATAGTTCTTTGCACATACATGAACTCTAATGTATGAGGGAGGACATCACTAAAATGCTGTGAACAAAAGCAAAAAGCAGGCTTTATAAGAGCAGAGTAAGATTGCAGGTGGTCTGGAAACAGCATTGTCTTTATGTTTTTGGCCTAGTGATTAGCTGGTGGGGAGCAAAGAGCATATTCTCGGCCATCTTGCTCTTGAGCAGACCTGCTGGGATCACCAAACAAATCAACGCCAGCTACTTACAGCTTCTCAAAATATCTTTTGAGCATAGCTGTCACCATCTAGAACATTTCTTCAGCCTCTTCAGAGCCATGGCAAGTGGATGGCTGGACGGGTGCACCAGGCTCAGAAGTGGCACATGCCACTTCCAGGTACAGCCTGTTGGCAGGAAGTAGTGAATTACTCTACCTCATATAACTGCTCTTTGCGTGGAGGAGCAGACTCTGGTAAGTACTATCACAGTTTGGCTCCTAACTCACTAACTCCCTGAATCTCTTCTATTCACACAGATACAAATGCACATAACTGCTTCTAGAGATGGACACAGTTAAACAGTACAGTTACACACACACACATGCACACAGTTGATTACTCTTTCCCCGATGGATGCGGACACCTGTGCCCCTCTATTGAGTGTCTTGTAAAGGAGTGAAGGCACAAGTTGTGGGTAGCTCTGTGGCATAGATGCCAGACCTCAGCAGGAGGAGTCCATGTGGTCAAGTCCTACAGAATTTCCCATGGTGATGCCAAATCATACTTGAGTAAGGCCACTTTCTCACCCATTGTCTAGAAGCTGGCTGACATCATAGTCTAAGGGGAGGAGCATGCACCCCCTCAGAGGGTCTGATATTCCAGAGGAAATGGGGTGCAGGGTGTCTCTCATCTCTCAGCTTGATCAGTGTGCAAACCACTTGGGAGGCCAGCATGCCTGATGGGCAGGTGGGCCAGAATGTGGAGGCCAGGATTTGGAATGGGAGCCAGGGCAGGAGTGGCCAGGGGAGTGGCTCTGGGTCCATGGCAAAGCTGGACCTGAGGGGCTGGGCCTGGGAGGCCCTGGACCAATTTGAGATCCAAATCTCCTTCATACAGGGTTGGGAGCCCATCTTCTGGGCCTCTTAACAATTCTGTGGAAAATGCCTCGCTGAAGATCTCTCTAGTTAAGCTATGGGGACAAGGGAATTTGGTCACTTCTGTACCCCTGGTGTCTGCAGTTTTTAATAAGCAGTGGAAGAAAGCAGAAGTGAGGCTGGAAAATTGACTACTCTAGAGGGTGCACCCAGGCTGGAGCCCTCTGTCAGCACATAGGCATCCTGCAGATGCCCATGCTGGTTACACAGCTCCCCAGGTGTTTGACTTCTGTTTTCAAGGGCCAGCCAGGTTCTCCCAATGCCGAAATACACTGGTTGTGTCTCGTAGTCACAAGCTGCAGAAAACTCTTTTCCGGTAAAAGACCCTAAAGCCACCCTTAATTCTTGCCTGTGCATAAGGCACATTTACATATTTGCCATCCTCTTGCTTTGTTTCACCTTAAGTCCTTGGGTGAAAGTGAGGCTGGGATGGACAGTGGAGATGAAGGTCCTCCAAGGCCAGGACCTTCAGGCATCAGACAAGGAGAACCTGTTGATCTGGCAGGTGCTAAAATGCCTGCGCCGGAAGATCCCTCAGGTAGCATCTATTTCCGTCCCTCATTCAACAGCTAAGATCTCTGCGGCTCAGGGAGACGGCTGGCCGGCCCAAGGCTCTCCATTGGTCTCTGATGAGCTGGGGCTCCCAGAGCACACTGTTTCTACCCCCCTGAAACTTGGCCCTTGTCTTTAGTCCAGTAGATAGATACTCAGGAAGAGGCAGATGAAATACAAACAGGCAGGATGCTGGACCAGGCAATTTATGAACACCTTTGAAAAGCAGACAAATCACCTCTTCCTCTCTCTCTGCATCTTTAGAGAGATGTAATTTCTTGGAATTAGATTAATTGAAATCTGTGTTGCCTTCTTGATATTATAACAACCATATTAATTAAAGTTTTTTTCTTTTAGTAAAAATTCCTATTTTGTAGTACACTGTAACATGAAATAGGAAATTTAGAAAAGAATCTTAGTACTCAATAAAATCAATGGAAGTGTCTAAATAATGGGATGTTCTTAATTTCCACTGCTTTTACTCCATTAAGTAGGTGTGAAATTGGTTGTCTCTGTATTAAGGGAATCATTTCCAGAACAATCCCTGAGATAGGTCAAGTCAGTCCTTGGTGGGCAGGAAAGTATCTGAAAGTAAGCTGACTTGAATAAGAAACAATTTTAAATATAAATATCAGAGTCTCCTTTTATAAAATATGAAGATACATTTACTCAGTTTGAGACTAATTAAGTTATGTTGATGTACCAGACATTAGTGTCACCCTAATAGATCTCTGTTTAAATTTATATGACCCCCAAACAGAAGCTGAACAACAGATTCCTTAATTGCTTTGGTATTTAGTGCTGCCCTTTAAAGCCAAACAAATATGTCACTGCATGTATCAGAAGACAGTAGTAGTATTGAACCTGTGATGATGAGGGGTCACCTTAAGTAATGAATGCCTTCAGCAGGACATGCACCTTTCCATGTTCCCTAATACTGTCAGACATCTGCTCCCTTGCTGTTCTGTGTTGAGAGGGAGAACCTCCCAGATGCTCATAATTATCACTATGGCAAGTTTTCGAGAGACTCTTATCTGTAAGGTATGTATAGCAGATTAAAAAAACCCCCAAAACTAATCAGTGTACACAATTCTGAATTAAAAAATTGTGCATCTTAGGGACTGGAAAATATCGAAGGCAGGAAGAATGGAAGCATGTGGGACTGCTGACCGTAAAGTGAAACATGATCGCAGCTGTGGTGATCATAGGGCCAGGTGCAGGCTTAGCACTGGATCCCTTAAGCCATCCAACAAAGCAAATAATGTGCTTATTTATGCCTATTTTATAAATACTTGGAAAAAAAGAAGTGGCCCACAGTCACATGGCTAAGAAATAGAAGTGAGATCGTAACTCAGGTTAGTCTGGCTTTAGAGCCCCAAGTCTTCATCCCTCTGCTGTCTCCACAGGTCCTTTATGATGAGTAGATACAGGCTGTAGATGTAGTGTTAAGCTAACGAAGTGGCCAAAGCAAAGAAGGAAACATGATTAGACATATATCACACTGTCTCTAAGGTACAAATTGATTTGTTCAGGAGAGACAGAACTTTTTCTGAGAGGAATATCTTGTATAGTTCTTACAGAGTATGTGATGAATGGGTAAAGCCCATCTTGCTCCACTTCAGTGAAGAATCAAAGAATCTTACTACAATAAGCTGTATATGTTCTGAGGAACTAATGTAGGGCATGGTGACTACAGTTAACAATACTGTACTGTGTACTTGGAAGTTGCTGAGAGTACATCTTAAATCGTCTTAGTTACTGTAAATCATGTTATATATCTTAAACTTACACAATGTTATTTCTCAGTTATGTATCAGCTGGAAAGAAAGTGGGGAGGGGTCATTTCTAGCCGTACATTCAGCTATGCTGCTTTGTGAAGCTGTAGGCTGTGCTTTCAGAGCCCAGACGTGCCAGATCATTGGCTGGGTAGTCATAACATGCTGGTGGGGGTGGGTGGCGGAGGAGGGGAACACTTACCACGGGGACAAGTGGTGGGAAGCTAGTTAGTAGCACATGTGTTTCTTTCATTTTTGTTCATTTTATTTTATTTATTTTATTTTTTCATTTTGTTTTCATCAATCTACTATTACATGAGGAACATTATGTTTACTAGACTCACCCCATCTCCAAGTTCCCCCCACATATCCCATTGTACTCACTGTCCATCAG